ATTCTATCTAAAAAACTGGTTCTTTTGGGGCAAAGGTTATAAAAAGGCCTGAGGCGTGTAAAAATCCCTTGATCGTGTGTCGAATCCTAGAGTCTTTCTGAATATGATTCTGGCAGTCGGCACCATGCTCTTGAAATTCAGCAAAGTGAAAACCGTCGATTATGTCAATCACCATACCGTTCTTTCTGATCATATTTAGCTGACAAGCCGTATCTTAACTCGAATAGTAATCAAAACGGCGATAACCGTAGCTTTTTGATACGACACTGATATACAAACTCAACCTTGAAACACTATAGACTCAATCCTCGGTAAAAAGTACAAAGCATGCTGGTAGCCAGCTATTGTTAAATAATCCCTAAACAGGAATGTATTTTTGTTGATCATTGACAACAGTGTTCAAACAATGATTATATACTCATGCCAATAATGGTTGTCACCCCCTTATTTTTTTTAATTGGAGAGGGGGTGTGGGATGGAGGTGTGGGGGGATGTAGGGAGGTGACAACCATTATTGGCATGAGTATATAAAACATGAATGCATATTTGTCAGTATGTTAGACAAGCGACAGCTCTAATAGGGTTGAAATCTGATGCTTCCTTGATTATCTGCAATGTAACACAAGGATTTCATGCATGCAGTAAAGTGTGTTTACAGACAAACACTCAATGTATGGCAACAGACATTTCGTTTATTTTTAAGTGCAAATATAATTTGTCTCATGAAAACAGTATCAGTTTACTGCGGCACGACCCCTTATTGGTTAGGTTGCTTATGCCGCCGCCCTATAGCTAGAATATTGTTGAGTGCGGCGTGAAACTAAACTCACTCCTCTCACTCACTCACTCACTCACTCACTCACTCACTCACTCACTCACTCACTCACTCACTCACTCACTCACTCACTCGTTTAGGTATCTCAAAATAGAGAAGCTACAGGGGCTGACTTTCCATCATCCACTTCTGGAACTGCCAGATATCTGGCCAGTCAGGTTGACGCGTCTGTTCAGTCTGATGATAGTCTGCCTTGTTCTGGCATATGGCATATCGAGGCCCCATCTTCGACATTCCAAAGGGTCGTTCTCGCTCTGCTGCTGATAATCTTGGTATTTTGATGGGTTCCCAGATTTACCACCCAAAATCTCAATCGACTGTGTTTTATACTGTTGGCGCGATTCAAGAAAATCATAATGTTCATGATATCCCACTCTCAACACAGTAAGGATATGTGTGGTGTTTGGGCAACACGTTAACATTTTCAAAACGCCAGATGCGTTGTTTCTTTTGTACGTCAATTTATATTTTGGGGGATATTTTTATGAAATTATGTGTTCAGTCATCCCAAATAAAAAAAACGTCCCCCAAACTGTCATGATCTCTTTGTTTTTGTTCTGTATACATAAAATCCACGACAGTCAGAAGAAGTTCCGGAAAGAATGGCAGCAACTCATGCTTGACATAAGAGGCGATGAACTGGGTGATGTGGTGAGGCTCGCTGACTTGGTAGACGCATGTTATCGTATCCCATTTGCGTAAATCGATGCCAATAATGCCAATCACCACATATATAGTTATGATTTTGGTAACATGATAGATTATCTCCTGTGAGTGAGTGAATTTAGTTTTACCTCGCTTTTAGCTTTATTCCAGCAATATTACGGCGCCAGAAACGGGCTTTACACATTGTAGCCATGTGGAGAATAAAACCCGGGACTTCGGCGTGACAAGCAAACGCTTTAACAATTGGGCTATCCCACCGCCCCCATCGCCTGTGAAGAAATAATTGTTCGCGTTTAACCTTTTTATTGTTAGCAGAACATGACCAGACCTGGAAATTTGTGGGAATTTATGTGTTTGTTACGATATGACACAATTACAACAATCAAATTAAAACCCTTTTAACTTTTCTAATTTTATATACCCTGGCCATATATCCAGGCAGTCTCCAGACACCCAGGTATCATCATTCAGATTTCAAGAAGAGAGGGCGTTTCTACAGATTCCAGTCACTGCTCTCCAGGCTGCGTTGTTGCCGATAAATCTGTGTATCTCAAGATCGGTTTCAAGCGCCACAAATGGGATTCCATATCACTTATGTCGCCCTCAAGTTGATATATAAAATCCTTACATTGATTCAATGATTGCTCATAATGCCTTGTCAAATGTACTGGGGAATATGCCGCGTGTGCGTGTGTGTGATATTCAAGCAAAATAAACACTTGGAATGGGCTACACACATTCTACCCATGCGGAAGATCGAACCTGGACATTCGGTTTCGTAGTCTATACATTTAAGTTGTCTATTAGTTTTATAATCCTGGTTGCATTTCCAGATTAGAGTGAGTAAGTGAGCTTAGTTTTAGGCTGCACTATTCCAGCTATATGGCGGCGGTCTGTAAACAATCCAGTGATCAACAGCATGAGCATCGACCTGCGCAATTGGGTACATGTGTCAATCAAGTCAGCGAGCCTGACCACCCGATCCTTTAGTCGCATAGATCTACGACAAGCATGGGTTACTGAAGATCAATTCTAACCCGGACGTTCACGGGTTCCAGATTAGAGGCATGTAAGCCAGATCCGGTGATTAGGTTGAGTACCGGTATTCGTATCCAAATTGATGCTCATAATTACTGGAATATCTGGTCCAAATTAACTCAACCTATGAACATATACAAGCAGCCAATATTTAGAATACTAGTGCACATACGTGCGCACGCATACACAAAAACAAATAATATCCGTTTGATTTTACTCAATATATCATATGCCCCCGAATACGTTCGAATGGAATTAAGCCAATAACTGTAGTTTTAAATGGGGAGACACATACATATAGTCATAGTTCCTTGACCCCTCGAGAAGGCTATTTATCCCACTCGGCGACACAACGTATATTTAATAGCCACTGATCCCTGACTACTCTGGGCTATTATACTTGAATGTTTGTGTGTGTTATATACAAATCCTTCAACGTTCAGCACATAGAAGACTTGAAACGTTCAATGGCACTCGAACGCAGATGTATACAATGGTTGCCCTTTAACAAATACGTTTTATCCGTCTTGAAGCCTCTCAGTGCTAAACATAGCATGGCTGTATAAACTGGGCTCGTATATGCTGCTGGTTCAATGTGTTGTTGTGACTGTCGTTTTTAACCTCTATAATAAGTAGATGAAATGATCACCTTCCCTCTCCCGTTATGCGTTAAATATGGCAATAACAACCTGTGGACACACTTATAGGATCATGTTTGAATGTACTTTTATTCTATTTCAGTTGATTGGGAGAGAGAGAGAGAGAGAGAGAGAGAGAGAGAGAGAGAGAGAGAGAGAGAGAGAGAGAGAGAGAGAGAGAGAGAGAGAGAGAGAGAGAGAGAGAGAGAGAGAGAGAGAGAGAGAGAGAGAGAGAGAGAGAGAGAGAGAGAGAGAGGGGACTCCCCAAAGATCCGGTGTTCAGGGTAGTGAATTTAATGCACTTACAGCACCCGTGCTTTGTTTAATAGGTTTTGTTGTAGCTGTAGTGGTATTTACAAATTTTAAACAATAATCATAATTGTTCTTATCATTGTTGTTATTATTAATATTTTTATCTACAAGGACGTATCCACAATCATATTATCCTATTTTGATCAGGGCTGACGTGGGTACAGTCTGACAATGACTTGCATGTAGGTGTGACTATACTTTGTGCAATCACTCAAAGACCCCCCACGTCATATCATACACTGTCTCGTTGCAATCAGTGTCACCATTTTGTTCTGAATAGGTAAAAAATATTCCAAAAGAAACAGAATTTTGCCTCAGTCAGGGGAAACGGTGATATGTTGATCGAGACGGATCATGTCTGGGTGTTCTCAGTTCAATCTTAAACAACATTATTCAGAGAGTGATCTGCCGATCGATACGCAGTTGGAGAGCATTGCAGTGTCAGAACTTAGATTACACCTTTTAAGGGGGTAGGTCGCATTACATTAAAAAAGTAAAATGGAAAGTGAGGGAATTTTTAAGTTGTATTTGGATTGGTAAGGAGAAAATAAATAAAATGAATATTTCACCGTTGGAAAAATATAGCCTTAGTCCTGTAAATATCCTTTGGATGATAAATGCATTGTCACTGCTGAATTTACTGTTGGCAGTATAAAGCAAAACAGAGTGAGTGAGTGAGTTTAGTTTTACGACACCGCATTACCCCAGCAATACCACGGCGGGAGACGCCCCCAAAAGGACATTACACATTGTGCCTATGTTGGGAATCGAACCCGGATCTTCGGCGTGACGAGCGAACGCTTCAACCACTAGGCTACCCCACCGCTCCAAGACTACCATGCAAGGCGCTGTTTCAGCTGGTATTTTAAACCACCAACACCCCCCCACCCCCCCACCCCGATTCTTCACGTGGCCAACAGTAATTTTCACATTTGGTAACAGATGTCATGACATGTACAATCAGCAAAGAGTTTGATCGGGAGATAATTATAATACTATTTAATACCTGGTATATGATCAATAGTGTTGAATGTTAAGACCCTACAACCACGATTTAGTGAGTTTAGCATGGCTAGTCACACAGCAAGGATACTAACCTTGCTCCAAGGCTGTACTGAATGCTAAACCCATGGATGTACAGAAATTCTATCCTTTAAAGAGGCAAGGCTAGATAAGCGGACGCCAGTCTGGTATTTATATTTTTTAGAAAATTTAATTTAAACTAAAATATTAATTACTACATTAGAGACTTGTGCAAGAAATGGATGCCGACATGTAGTATATCATTCGGTAACAAAGTCTACATTAAAACTTTCAGTGAGGATTTCAAAATGTGACATACAAACAAACAAGTCATTTTCTAACACTGAACTTCACATGTGAAATTCCATACATCGTGTTGACATCATATTTCGTATATTACATTCACAAGTATTGATCTGTTGTCTCGACATGGTATATCTCGTATATTGTCTGAACATGTCCTATTTCGTAAATTGTGTTCACAAGTATCACGTGTAAAATAATTTATTAAATAAAGCAAGCGACAGTAATTCATTTCATAACATGTGACTTTACTTACTAATTCAGAAACTTGACATAGTTTGAGCATAAACACGAACACATTTTCTTGACAAAGTGAAAACTCCGGACAGCATAATTCCAAATGAATTTAGAATAGAAACACTTTCACCACAGCTACCTTCCTATTCCGGAATAACGGGATTTCGTGTGTAAAGACCCTTAATTATTTTACCTGGACCAAGAATTCAGTCCCGTTTTCATCACCTCCACCACCGATGAAGTTAACACAACTTTTATCCTTGGTAGGTCAGTATGTAATTGAAAAACATTTGCATATACATATAATATTGTACAGTTGCATTAAATCTTGCATCACCTGGCCGCTTTGGCCTGGACAAACCCAAACCTGTAGTCGGCAGTTACCTCCCCTACCACATCTCCTCTTTCTATGGGTCCCAGTCTGGGGCTCACATTCAGGTCGTAGTTCAACAAATTATGTCGTCTTCTAAACACAACATCGGATCTATTTGTCACATCAGCCTCATCCTCCTCCCATTTATCTTCCCCAGCCTCCTCCGCATCCACTAAAGAGTCCTGGTTGATCGGGGAAGCTAGCTCCGGGGGGAGCTCACTCGGGTGTCGGGGAGTGTTGGGTGGACAGGGAGTAGGTTCCTTGAACTTGAACAAATTGCACATGGGGCACTCCCGAGCTGTGTGGGGAGCTGCGATCGGGTCCAGCTTTCGTTTGGGTTTAGGTCTATGGTGATGATGGTTCATGATCTTCAGTTTGGGAACCATGCCGTTTCTGATCACAAGGCTATCCGGTGTACATTTCTGCATGAACACTGAAGATCCTTTTCCAAGAACTTTACCCTCACGTTTCCTTGGCTTTATCGACAGTCCCGAATGATCCAAATCTGGTCTCAGATTCTTCATGTCACTAAAACTGGGCCAAACAGGAAACTCCCCGTCTCGGCCATCAAGACCGGCAAGTTTGGGTTTCTGTCGACTGGTTAAGGGAGCATGGTGAACTTGAATATCATCATCAGAAGAGAAGGATTCAAAGTCCAGATACCTATAGGAAGTGCCAAGGGTTGCAGCAGACGACAGCCGATGAGCCATTAGCGAGGATCCATCAGCCTCTCTTTCATACATCCCCTCTAACTCATCCCCATACCACTCTTCCACCTCCCTTTCATCCTCTTCCCTGATCACCTCAAAGTCATCCTCCCTCAACGTTCCTGTGAACTCAGACGTCGTCTTAAAGTCTTCTTCGACAGATTCCAACTTTAAACTGCTTTCGTGATCTCTATTCTCGATGGTCTTAACTTCGGACGGGTGTTCCTTATCGACATACCTTGCAGGTTGTAGTGGCACGAACACCCTGTCTGACGTATGCGAGGTGTTATGGATGGACTGCCTGAGCGCATCTCTCTGAATCTCAGCCGGCGTCTTAAACTGGTAGTGGATGATATTGGCCTGTCTCACTCCACCACCAAAGGTTGCCGCCTGACCAGGCGGTTTACGACCAACATCCAGAATATTCCGCAGCGATTTCCGAGTGCTCTCAAGTGCTCGATTGTCTTCACTCTCGCCCACATAAGTCTCCAAATTGATTTTCAACAGAGGTAGTTGTATAACCCTCTTGCTGTAAATCTTTGATACTTTCTGATCCTGAGCACCTCTTGACACCGCTATCTTGTATTTGTTTTCGAAGTCTTGACTCCGTGAGCGATTATTGCCTTGCCCTTGCTCGTTATCAGAACCCTCAGCCAGGCTGTGGATGGACTTTCTGCTCCCGTACATGTCCATTAACCCATGTCCCTCGCCAGACATCGTCAGGTACCTCTCCACCCTCTCGGCATGAGACACTTCACTCTCAAGCTGACACAACGATATCCCCTGGTCCTCCTCTGGCACACTGCAGCGCCGTACAGTCCCCAGTGGTCTCACAGTCCCAGTCGTAAGGTTTGCATGGGGCGCGTACTTAGAATATAAAAGCCGCAGAGGCCTGGCTTCCATAGACATTTTATAGTGATCTATAGGCATGACTTATCAATATCATTTGTCCAGCCTTTCACTAAAGTTGCATCGGGAAGAAGCTCAAAGGCTTGCTTTATACCACCCTTTCATTTTTATATCTGTTCAGCCTTTGAAATATTGAAAGGCTCATACAAATACCGTACGCTATTTTATTCCCTGTTTGTTAAACATGGTTCTGAATAATTCTCTGGTGAATAAAACCGTGTCTCCTCACTACGTTGACCGCGTACGTACACGTATTGTCATGACATGTCTCCCATAGATACAAAATTATCCCATTTCTGTGGCTTTAGATGTTTTGGGCATTCGTTAGCCGCTTTATAGAAGACCGGCCATCTGTGTCCGTTAATTTCACATCTCAACATTAATCACATATATAAAGCTGTGTACGTGGAAAACACAATGGTAAGTTATTCATAAGCGACCATAAACGTCTTAAGCGCTATTGTGTTCAAACATTACAGCAGGGTGTTACTTCACATAAACAAGTGGACCAATTTGTCGGATGTATTCAAAACAGATTGGTGTCAGTACGATACGTCACATACACTATTGTCAATACTCAAGGACGTGTCGAGAGCCACCACATATATACTATTGCGTGACGTTTCTATGCCATGGTCCACGGCAGCCTGTAACCTTGTCCCAGAGAACAAACCATGAGTGGTGTTCTTTGTCATCTAGGTGACATGTTCTTCAAACAGGGTCACTCAATCTATGGAATCATCAAGTTCTGTTGACATTCTTACTTTGGACGTGACCAAGACGCAATATACCTGCGAATATTGTATACACATAATATGTTACTGGGTGCTAGAAATAATGATTGCACCTTAACGTTGGCAGAGGCACGCCCACAATACAGATGAGTTTAGAAATACGTTTTCTTATGTTGTTAATGACAATGGGTATGTTCCGGGATCACGTTGGAGCACTAGGGGTTTCTTAATGTTCGTATGACTTTTCAGTTAGGACATATCAAGCATTTCGGCATCCTCTGGTGGGATCTTATTCGCCAATTGAACACGGTAAACACACATTGTGACGATGTTTTCAGTTTCTGTTTTCTGATTTCCGAGTTGTATCGGAATACGCTTGTTGCTCTTCCCTTTCCTATGTACGCAGGGTAAACTCAATTTTCAAAATTCATTTTTAGGAGTTTTTCGGAATCCATAATCCTTAATTTTCAGTCGTCTCAAAAGTACACATGGCTGACGAAGCATATAGATAATGTGTTTAACTTAAATACTAAGTTAAACTCAGCTTGTTGTATGCAATAAAATTGTCCTCAATTGCAACACCCAAATCACTGCCAGAAGAATACACTCTGCTCATTGACTTCCAGTTGCTTTACATCTGCAAGACCTCCATAACGTCCTTGATTTTCAACAAACACAAAATCGATGGTCTTCAAAAGAAGGACACCTGTTTATCTGAAACTTCATCTCCAACGTTGCTCATTTCCACAAAACGTGGCCATCAGGAACGCCATGAAATTTCACAATAAAGTATTCTTCTATTTTCCTTTCACAGTCAAAGCTGTTTTCTCCTTAGTCTGAAGCCTATGTTTCCACTGTGCTAATTCTCGTAGTCGTTGATTAAAACAAAGGCCTTGCAGTGCAACACCGCCACCTATACTGGCAGAGCTGTTCTCGAGGCAGTTATTACACCTTCGCACGCACGGTGACCGGTAACGCCACCTTTGCACATTTAATGAGTCTGCGGTAAATCCTTGATTGAAGAAACGGAATTTAGTTGCCGTACAAACCGGTAGATCGATGAATACATTACAGTTTCCAAATTGGAGAGGATAGTGTTTTATACATGCTTATAATTACAAAGATATTGTCAATATAAGTACTTCTCTGTCCACGAATACTCCAAGTACTTTTCGTCCACGAATACGCCAAGTACTTTTCTGTCCATGTACTTCTCTGTCCAAGTTATGCCTCGATGTCCATTATACTTCGACATATACTCCTCCACATCGACTCTGCCCGGCATGAATGTTTTTTTTACCCTCCAAAAATGAAGAAAATTAAGGTCTTCAAAACAGAAAAATCCAATTCAGACGAAACTGCCAATCTGGAAGCCCAATCTATCCGTCATTGTGGTTGCATAGATTGGGTTCAGACATTCCAATTGTCTTTATAAACAGTCTCACAGTTGTTCCTTCAGAAAAGTTCATGATGAACATAATATCCTCCGACGTCTTACTCCACCAAAGGTCTACATCTGTTCACATGTTACATACTGTTCATATCGGTCAACATTACGCTCACTAGACTACTGCACCCAGTGATTCAGCTATGCCAATGTCTCGGGGCAGTTCCGGTGTTCCAGTTCCTAAGCCCTTCTCTCCCTCATAACACCCAGCCTATCAACCAGGATTCAGATCATACTCTGTATGATTATTAATGCCGGGTTCCTTCAACCTTTGTTCCTTTGTTGTTCTTATGTTAGCTTCACTTGTCAGCTGCGTCAGAAATTAAGTATCTGGATCAGATGAAACTGCGCCAACTCAAACCTGCTCTGACATAAGTAATTTGGCTCAAATCCGCTCCTGGGAACAAATCGTGCGTGGACAATCCGCTACGATAACGCTCAGGCTTGAGATTACAATCCATGCTATTACTTACTCTGTAAAGTATATGTGTCGTGTGATACAAGTGCTGGCTTTAAGATATCCATTTTTAGCATGCATACGTTTTTCCAAGAACACGATATCCTCTGTCAAAAAAGTCCATATCACGAAACGCGCCTCGCCAAACCCAACATGCGCGAAGCTGCTAAAACGCTGAATATGTCTGAATATTCTCACACAGACAATGTACAAATACGACGTTGGTCCAATCACGAAGAATTCAAAATCTTCGCACAAACAATGAACAGATAAATTGTAGATGAACATCCATTTGTTTCATTCAAATCAATGATCAAAACACATTCTTGATTGAAACCTCGGGTAAACATCACACACAACATTCCAGCCCAAGGTTTCTTCAAAAAGGAGCGCCACTTGCAACGGATTGAAATCAGTTTACGTCAATCCAAATCCGTTGAAAAGACATTTCGGTTTTTATAAAATCCATTTCTAAGGTCCCGTGTTTGGTGGAATAAGAACGTTTATGGTGTACGTTCCTAGGGGAACTCGGCAATATACACGTACAGACGTTTAAGCCCGACACGTCTTTGTTACGCCATTCAGTGGAGTGACTGATACTGAGCTACCAGCTGATCGATCGCCTGCGTCATCTGCAGCAACCACCATTGAAAGACAGGCGCAATTACGCCGTGATTGAAATGACATTGACATAGCAGCAATTAACGTGTTTGATTGATGCTCAAATTGATTGCACCTGAGCGTCTTATAGTCATAAAGGTGTTCTATGAAGCGCACACAGGTTTTGAATGAATAGATGTTTATTTCTACTCATATACACCGGGAAGCAAACGAAACAATACCTCTCAGTCGCTACATCATATGTTTGATTTTCGATTGAAAATATCTTAAGTTCTCGGTCTTACATAAAATGTGAACTGTACAAAGTCAGCTCTCAAAGTATCCTTCAGCATTTTTATATATTTTTATTAAATAATATGATTTTATGACTATTATGAAAAATGATTATCCTGGTATATTTCTATTTGTATAAAGTTGTTACGACACAAGGAGAGACAGTGACTAATTTAGTTCAATACAAAGGGTGGGGTGGGGATTATTGCACTTACATAGCGACTTATGGGTGGGGCCGATCGAGTGGGTGTTGATGGTCATATAGGTCTGGAGAAAGATGATTTTTAGGTCCACTGAGATACCACGCCGCAGTTTTAACACTAATACCTTGAAATAAATACGTTGTACTGACTCTGTGCATCCATGCGTACAGTGGTGCAGCCACACCACGCTGATACAGTGATGCAGCTAGGCCACGCTGATACAGTGATGCAGCTAGGCCACGCTGATACAGTGGTGCAGCTAGGCCACGCTGATACAGTGATGCAGCTAGGCCACGCTGATACAGTGGTGCAGCTAGGCCACGCTGATACAGTGGTGCAGCTAGGCCACGCTGATGCATTGGTGCAGCTAGGTCCACGCTGATACAGTGGTGCAGCTAGGCCACGCTGATACAGTGATGCAGCTAATTCACGCTGATATAGTGATGCAGCTAATTCACGCTGATATAGTGATGCAGATAGGCCACGCTGATACAGTGATGCAGCTAGGCCACGCTGATACAGTGATGCAGCTAGGCCACGCTGATACAGTGATGCAGCTAATTCCACGCTGATATAGTGATGCAGCTAGGCCACGCTGATATAGTGATGCAGATAGGCCACGCTGATACAGTGATGCAGCTAGGCCACGCTGATACAGTGGTGCAGCTAGGCCACGCTGATACAGTGATGCAGCTAGGCCACGCTGATACAGTGATGCAGCTAATTCACGCTGATATAGTGATGCAGCTAATTCACGCTGATATAGTGATGCAGCTAGGCCACGCTGATACAGTGATGCAGCTAGGCCACGCTGATACAGTGATGCAGCTAGGCCACGCTGATACAGTGATGCAGCTAGGCCACGCTGATACAGTGGTGCAGCTAGGCCACGCTGATACAGTGATGCAGATAGGCCACGCTGATGCAGTGATGCAGCTAGGCCACGCTGATGCAGTGGTGCAGCTAGGCCACGCTGATACAGTGGTGCAGCTAGGCCACGCTGATACAGTGATGCAGCTAGGCCACACTGATACAGTGATGCAGCTAGGCCACGCTGATACAGTGATGCAGATAGGCCACGCTGATACAGCTGGTGCAGCTAGGCCACGCTGCTGATAGATAGGTGATGCAGCCAGGCCACGCTGATACAGTGATGCAGCTAGGCCACGCTGATACAGTGATGCAGATAGGCCACGCTGATACAGTGGTGCAGCTAGGCCACGCTGATACAGTGATGCAGCTAGGCCACGCTGATACAGTCGTGCAGCTAGGCCACGCTGATACAGTGATGCAGCTAGGCCACGCTGATATAGTGATGCAGCTTATTCACGCTGATATAGTGATGCAGATAGGCCACGTGGATACAGTGATGCAGCTAGGCCACGCTGATACAGTGATGCAGCTAGGCCACACTGATACAGTGGTGCAGTTAGGCCACGCTGATACAGTGATGCAGCTAGGCCACGCTGATACAGTGGTGCAGCTAGGCCACGCTGATACAGTGATGCAGATAGGCCACGCTGATACAGTGGTGCAGCTAGGCCACGCTGATACAGTGATGCAGCTAGGCCACGCTGATACAGTGATGCAGCTAGGCCACGCTGATACAGTGATGCAGATAGGCCACGCTGATACAGTGGTGCAGCTAGGCCACGCTGATATGGTGAGGCCACGGTGATGCGGCTAGGGCCGCGCTGCTTGCAGGCCACGCTGATACAGTGGTGCAGCTAGGCCACGCTGATACAGTGGTGCAGCTAGGCCACACTGATACAGTGATGCAGCTAATTCACGCTGATATAGTGATGCAGCTTATTCACGCTGATATAGTGATGCAGATAGGCCACGCTGATACAGTGATGCAGCTAGGCCACGCTGATACAGTGGTGCAGCTAGGCCACACTGATACAGTGGTGCAGTTAGGCCACACTGATACAGTGATGCAGCTAATTCACGCTGATATAGTGATGCAGCTAATTCACGCTGATATAGTGATGCAGATAGGGCACACTGATACATTGATGCAGCTAGGCCACGCTGATACAGTGGTGCAGCTAATTCACGCTGATATAGTGATGCAGCTAATTCACGCTGATATAGTGATGCAGATAGGCCACGCTGATACAGTGGTGCAGCTAGGCCACGCTGATACAGTGGTGCAGCTAATTCACGCTGATACAGTGATGCAGCTAATTGATACAGTGATGCAGCTGGCCACGCTGATGACAGTGATGCAGCTAGGCCACGCTGATACAGTGGTGCAGCCACTGATGAATTCACGCTGATATAGTGATGCAGCTAATTCACGCTGATATAGTGATGCAGATAGGCCACACTGATACAGTGGTGCAGCTAGGCCACGCTGATACAGTGATGCAGCTAGGCCACACTGATACAGTGATGCAGCTAATTCACGCTGATATAGTGATGCAGCTAATTCACGCTGATATAATGATGCAGATAGGCCACGTGGATGCAGTGGTGCAGCTAGGCCACACTGATACAGTGGTGCAGGTAGGCCACACTGATATAGTGATGCAGCTAATTCACGCTGATATAGTGATACAGCTAATTCACGCTGATACAGTGATGCAGATAGGCCACGCTGATGCAGTGGTGCAGCTAGGCCACACTGATACACTGATGCAACTAGGCCACACTGATACAGTGATGCAGCTAATTCACGCTGATATAGTGATGCAGATAGGCCACGTGGATGCAGTGGTGCAGCTAGGCCACGCTGATACAGTGATGCAACTAGGCCACGTGGATGCAGTGGTGCAGCTAGGCCACGCTGATATAGTGATGCAGGTAGGCCACATCAATGTTATCCGTGGGCTGTAATAATAACGATTTAATTAAAAAATAATAATATTCATTTAACAGTGATTACATGCTCATCTGCACACTTAAAGCTGCAATAACAAACATATCATTTGTCCCCTGCGTGGTTACATTCTTCACCTTTAAGTCATCGAGTTAAAGACGACAACACTAAATATTGACAAACATGGTCAGGGTTAATTACTGGAAATATGTACATTTATAATACATGATACTCTTTAAAATATCACCCTGTCACAACTGACATATTTCTTAGTCCACAATCCTTCTTTTCTGCTGATTCTGGTCCGGGAACATTAAGCTCCACTTCTTAATCAGCAACCACGGTCCTTCACCCGGGATTACGTCTTCTCTATAATCCGGTTTTACGTGCTTATCCGACATGTTTCTACTTTAATCCACCGTAGTTGTGCATCCACCAATTCCACGGACATGTTCATTCCACGTGTGGATTATATCACCCCGTGCGGGTACAAATGCACAATACACAATGGAAGAATTACTTCTTGGTAGATAGTGTTCGTGATTTCCATGAATCAGCCATAGAATTATTAACGATAATACCATCAAAGTCACTGACGAGATTAACTGCACGCTGTGTTCGAGAAATCAAAGCATTGTGGTTGTAGGAACAGACAGTGGCTTGGAAACCACGCTGACAGACAATCTACCCGTAAATGTCACGCGTGCTGGTTTCCATTGTCTGAGACTCGACAGACTGTTGGTTTATCTATGTTTGGGTCAAATACCTATCCGTCTTTCGGCACTTGCGGGGACACCAGGTAAGAATGTGGGTCCCCAGCAACTACCATTGTCGAAAGAGGCGATTATATAGCTGACTTGGCTGATTGTATGTCTGCGGTGATGTTGGTGTTAAGGTGTGTGTGTGTGTGTGTGTATGTGTGTGAGAGAGAGAGGGAGGGAGTGGGTCATCATTTTGTGCACATGCACTGAGTGTGGGTGCCATTTTGTACATAAAGATATCATACAATTTAGTGGTGGTCCAATTGATTGAAATAATCGAAGATTGGTCGTAATGACTAAACGATCAAGCAATCGATCACATTTTGTCATAATCGAACACAAACAATTTTGGAACACTTGTTTGCATTGACATCATTTATCACAAGGTTGGTTTTGTTTGTTGCGTTTCATAAGCACTATAAGTTCGTTCCAAGTCATGATTAAAATTTATCTTGAAGACTCCCGGTACTTTATGTTCCTAACATATAAGTCATCCTTTAAAGACATGAAATTTGCCAAAACAACCGAAAGAACTACATGTTTTTTTCTTTATTTTGTGTACATAAACAAACATAACCAGGACAATTTGATAAATAACGCTAACCAACTATTTTCGATGATTGATCGGTTGTAATGAACCAATCATCAATTATAAGATTTTAACCAATTCCCAACACTAATACAATAAAGCGCTTAAAGATTGGAGGTGAGGTGCCTTTGAATTTGTACATGATGGGCCGGGGTAGGGCACTTTCATGCCTTGGACACATTGTTCATGCATCGCCATAGATATCATCTCCGCCCCCTAGCCAGAAACTTTGAACGGTCCCTTATCGGGGTAGAATAACCGTGGATGTAATTTATAATGATCCACCTTTTCGTACACCGA